CTCGAAGATAAAGCTTCAAGGTCTTACTGCCCTCAAAGAAGGTTGGTACTGATCCTTCCAAGTGATAAGGTCGATGTTCTCGCGCCCTTCTGGAAGGCCCGCTTCAGCCCGAGGAAACTTGAGCTCAAGAAATCGGATGCGCAGGCCTTGTGCCTTCACTTGGTCAACAGCAGGCCTCATTAGAGCGGATCTGCTATGAGATGGGCCATGTTGACGAGGGGTATCATAATCATATGGCCTTGGGCGACAAGAGGGAAATGACGTGTTTGCTCCTCTTTTGTGAAACCGAGGAGCAAATGGGAGATGTTGAAGAGTGAAAAGATAAGAGAGGAGAGTCAATTCAATTTGTACACTTCTATCGTTAGTGGACAAAGTCTTTGATAAGCCAACGTGACACGCAAGTTGATTTTTCCTTGCAATTGGGCCTTTCATGGGCCACACCCACGTTCTATATTCTACAAGATGGGGGCTGGATTATCTAATTAGTGACTTATGTTGGTCAATTTTCGATTTGGTCTGTAGTCTTCAGCTCTGGGTTCTCTCTAAGAACATAATATAGAGAAGAATATACTGATTAATCTTTGATTATGTTCTGTTCAATTCAAACTTTAGACGAGTCAGAGTTATGGATTAGAATACGTCTCAGCGGCGGGGGTCCACTGAGGCGATCGTTCGTTTGCAAGCACGTGGATGATGACGCGTGCTTATAGAAGAGTAAACTTGTTCGTTAATTTGCCGGTACTGAGGTTATTTGGTCCAGTGCTTACTTCTGCTATTAGTTAAATATATTTTATTTATATGTAAACGAAGAATATAATGGATATTTCTAACCTTTATGATACAAGATCATGGACCTCTTTATTACTATATTAGGCTCCCAAATATTGGATTTTGACCGAGAAGTTCATTACCAAAGTATTGAATATTGAAAGTCCCTGTAGCAGAAAACTTTTCCAGTAAATTGGGGTGCGGAAAGTAGTGAATTTTTAAGGATAATGTGGAGAAAGCAATTCATTCGTACTTTAAGGAATAGGGTTAGGGAGTTTGATTTAGAATTTAGAAGCGAAAAAGGCAGTACTGGAGAAGGATCGTCCTTTGAGTTTGAGAACAGAGCTTTTTTTTTTTTCTTTTTTCTTCTTTATTTTAATAGAAAACAGAGCAGAAATGGTTAAAGAGGTTAAATGCTATTGTGCTCAAGGAACACTAAAATAAATTAAAATTAGGGTTAATTCTAGACAACCCCCCAATAAAGTGAGAGCTGTCATTTGGATTTAACAACTGAAAATGTTGTTCTTATTTGGGATAATCTATGCCCTGTATGATATATTTTCTTTGGCCTGACATGGATATACGGTTTGCTGAAAGTAACAAAAATGTAGGATGCCCATTGTTCCTCTGTTAACGTCAAGTTCATACGCTGCTTTTCAATTAGCATGTGATAGATATATTGGTTGTACATGTTATGTAATTATATTTTATAGATAACAGACTTGCCCAAGTTCAAGCTGATTTCTCAGTCAAATAGTATTCTTCCAATAATTCTCGCCTTACGTTAAATCCTTCTGCTGTAACAAAAACACTGAGATCTTCTGCTCCAAGCGTAACTACATCCAGTCCTTCTTATGGTCCAGGAAAAATATATCCAAACGATTCAAAGAATGGCCAAAAAAAAAATGCAAGTCTGCTACCAAGTCCTCACTGCCACAGACAAAAGATCAAAGGATATATTTTTTTCTCTCTATGCAATTGTCTGCACCCGTATGTCGTATCAAATGCATAAGATTCGAATAAGAAGATCCTCCTTGTACTGCCTCTAGAGCTTGCTCAGCGGAATATTTAGTCGTCTCCCTCCACTCTTCAGCTTCTCACTCTAATTAGGCCAAGTTATCATACGAATGCTGACATAGACTTTAACATCGAATTCCAACCTCATCGTGTAAAAAATCCTCTAATTACAAGCCCTCAATACCTTGTTCTTTTTTCAAACTCAGAATGCCATACCTCCACCTCAAAACACCTTTCTCGGACTTTGATCACCCATATGAATGAACAACCAGAAGCCTCCGGTTGCAATCCTACCTCAATGAGTTGAGCAGCAATTGTTCAAAACAAGAGTACCAAAACTCACAAAAACTACCGAGCTTGTTTTCATCGAGTCAAAAGATCTCAACAATGATCCTTGTTAATAGTCTTTGTTCCCCATAGAAGCTATATCTTCAACATATCCGTTGAGAAGCGCAACGGGCCAATAGTCCAAACCTTTTTTCATATTGGATAGATAGAAAGTGAGGAACTGGTGATGTATGCCATTATGCAAGCAATTTGTGTCAAATTTGGACTTAAAGCATTATGAGGTTTGTTATGACAAATCCCCAGCATAAACTAATATCAATCACATGAAAGCACAAAAAATATCAAGAACACACGAACACAAAGATATGCGTGGTTCGGCTTGTAGCCTACGTCCACGGGCGAAGGAGGAGAATAGCTAGCTTTACTCAATTATGTAGAATACAAAGTAGAATCTCTCAATCCCAAATAACACTTCAAGATTCTCGTGCAATCTTTCTAAATAAAAGTAACAAATGGAGACACTAGTGGAAAATAGGGTATTGGCGACGGATATCGAATCCGTCGCCAATACAAACATTGGTGATGGGTAGTTTCCTGTCGCCAATACGTATTGGCGACGGCGTCAACCGGTCACTAATGTATATACCAAACTAATTATTCAGTTATATTCGATTCGATAGTTCATTTAACGCTAAATAAATATTTTTTAGAATTCGAAGTTGCTAAAGATTGGAATTTGACCAGCCCCGTCCATCGCCAATGTTGATGTCGTCGCCAATACGTATTGGCGACGGCACAGAACGGTCACTAATGTATATACCAAACTAATTATTCAGTTATATTCGATTCGATAGTTCATTTAACGCTAAATAAATATTTTTTAGAATTCGAAGTTGCTAAAGATTGGAATTTGACCAGATGTATATTCAATTTGTTCGTATATTAAATATTCGTTTAAAATTGATCATGTGTTATTATTTGTATTATTGCATATATGATGCCGTATTTTAACAATTTACCTTTTCAATTTAAGTTTTATATACCGATTTTAAGACTTAAATAAACTTAAATTTGTTTTCTAATTAAATATTGATTTAATTATATACCGATTTTAAGACTTAAATAAACTTAAATTTGTTTTCTAATTAAATATTGATTTAAATATATACACATCATATTAAACTTAAATTTGTTTTCTAATTAAATATTGATTTAAATATATACACATCATATAGTATAAAGGAATAGTTTTTATTTATGAATTTAATACTAATTGAAAATTAAATTCTTTGGCGGAATAAATATACTTTGATATTCGACAAGTATTCGTGAGTTTTTGGCTTTGGCTTTGATTAATTTAGAGAAAATGATGAGAAAAGTGAAGATGATGAGAAAATGGTGAGAGGCCAATGAAGAGATCATTTTTAGTTATATGTGTTACGAACATGTAATCATATTAATCTTGCTAATGATATACCAGAACTTATCATACCTCTTTTCAATTAATTAGGAAATCTATGCTATTGTTTAAATTTATTATCTTTTATTCTTTATGGTAGTAGATTAGATGACCTCCACTACTCTTAATTGGCTTCATTTACGGATGAACTTGACCCTGTAAACAATATTAATAAATGTGAGAAGAGTTTAATGAGATTTAATCACTAAAGAAACAGATAAAAATAGTTTGGATAAAGTTCTCTTAGAGTTTTATAAGGTTAAGAGGAGAAAGAGTAGTCGAAATTGAGTTATAGCGTAGATGATATCTGTTGGAGGAAATTTTTTTTAAATGAATTTGTTTTTCACAATTTAACGGGTCAACTAGGTCCATACAGGTAAACTTTTTATAATTAAAAGTCAAGGGAAACTAGTAATAATAGTTAGATTTAAAAGAATATTTCTTTAAATATAACCGATGTTAAACAGGGGACCTAATAGTAAATGTTGTGATGATTTGAGGGATGTAATAGAAATTTCCATGATTTGAGTGAGTGATTTTGAAATATTGAGATTTGAGGGACTAATTTGGCGACGGACCCCATCCGTCACCAATGTTGATGTAGTCGCCAATACGTGTTACGAACATGTAATTATATTAATCTTGCTAATAATATACCAGAACTTACCATAGCTCTTTTCAATTAATTAGGAAGTCTATGTTATTTTTTAAATTTATTATCTTTTATTCTTTATGCTAGTAGATTCGATGACCTCCACTACTCTTAATTGGCTTTCACATTTTAATGTATTTGGTTTTCACGTTTTAACGGGTCAACTAGGTCCATACGGGTTAACTTTTTATAATTAAAAATCAAAGGAAACTAGTAATAATAGTTAGATTTAAAAGAATATTTCTTTAAATATAACTGCTATTAACCAGGGGACCTAATAGTAAATATTATGATGATTTGAGGGATGTAATAGAAATTTTCATGATTTGAGTGAGTAAATTTGAAATATTGAAGATTTGAGGGACTAATTTGGAAATATTGAATATTTGAGGGACTAATATTAAAATAATCCAATCATTAACTCTAACTCAAGGATGTAAAAGGAAAATTGGTAAGAATAGTTAGATTTTAGGATTGCAATTACAACTTCTATGAGATTTCGGGAACTAATTTAAAAATATAAAAACTTTAAGGGGCTAAAATTAAAATATCCTAGACATAAATATCTCAACCAAACCATAATCCAAACCCTCTCTTCTCAGCCACCGTTCTCTCTCCTTCCCTTAGTTTACCTCCATTCTGGAAACCGCAGTCCTCCCCTCGACGACCCGCGCCCTCAACAACCCACGCACGTCATTCCTCAACTGTACGCCTTCCTGACGACCCGACGCACGCCGCCCTTGCGCACGCTCCCTCGACGACCAGCCGCCCTCGACGACCTTCGCACGCCGCCTCGACCGCACATGCCGCACGATGCCACGCCCGCACGATCCATCGCCCGCACGCCGCCCTCGACGACCCCCCGCACGATGCCCTCGACGACCTAGCCAACCCTCCTTAGAGAGGTATTTTCAAAAATTTTAAATATTTTTGAATTTTTAAAACCCGACGCCCTAGCCAGCCCTTAACGGTCCACGACCATTATTTGAAGAATTCTACCATCTGGGAGGCTTGCGCAATCATGGGAGTGAAGACTGGTGTGGGAGACTGCTTACAGAGGATAAATTGGTGAAGTTTGGTGTGCTACAGGAGAGTGTTTGTGCTTTGTGCAATCATGGGAGCGAAGGAGTTGATCATATGTGCCCCTTTTTGTGCTTGTTTAAAAGAAGATCTTGGTGTGGTTGAGGATACAAAGGGATCCTATGGCTTGGGAGCAGGAGATTTCTTTGTTGGGTCAATGGAGGAGGACAAAATCCACGAAGTTGAAGATTCTGTTATTAGTTGATCTTTGGGGTGAAAGAAATTACAGGTGATTTTCTTCACTCTCAAGCTGTCCTTTAATTGTGTTGATAAAAGTGAAGATAGATGTGCTTACCAGATGTTTTTATAGATCCTGTCAAATTCGTGACTGGATTATGAGTTTGTAGGATGATCTCTCATTGAGTTTTACACAAATATATTGTTGTGTTAATGACTGTACACACCAGGCATGCCTGGGCGAGAGTGGACATAAAGTTTTTCATTTGGTTAAATAAAAAAAATTATTTACCAAAAAAATATAATTAAATATCCACCACCTTACTTTTGTTATAAGAGATATATAATATAAAATAATAATACGAGATATAAATATAAACTAATGGGGGAACCGCGATAGCCCGGATGGTTTGAAGGTTATAATATGGCTCCAAGGTCTCCATGTGATTATATTATTAAAACTGATTTCATGTGATTGGTTTCTTACATTTAATTTGGAATTTAATATATCACATGACACTTTGACTATACCCCCAACTCTTCTTTCTAAAAGAGCTTATACACCTTCTCACGGCTATGAAAATGTAGAGGGAAATGACAAAAAGGTGGAGAAAATTAATGAATTGAACGTGAGTATAAGATTAATTTTAGATTTGTATATACTTAATAATTTTTCATCAAAGTTTTTATTTTTTATGATATATGATATGTTGGCGGCGTTGGAAGCTTCTCAAAACGATGTCTTATCCCGTGTCATGCAGTCTCAAAGTACAGAGGACACTCCTGTAGAGCTTAACCGCATGACCAGAGATGAGTGGATGGAAGTTGTCGACGGAAAGGAAGAGTGCTTCTGCCAAGTGCTACAGTTAAGCGACCATGTCGCACGTCATACGTCGTGGGTAAGATTAAAAAAATACTTGTTGAAGAATGTTAAAATTCCATTGGCTTTAAGTTTTCTTCCCACTATTAAGCACGAGTTAAGCGGTACACAAACGACTTGGGATGTCGTTCAGCTACTCATCGATTCTCGACCCTTAAAGGACTTGCTTCCGCAACCTATATACGCGGAGATTATGGGGTTGGCATTTGATGAGCATGTAGCTGCAAGTGATGGAGATGTATATATGTCATATTATATATGTATTTATTATAAGTATTTTGGAATATATTCTCATATTGATTTATATTCTTTTTAGGCTAGAGGAGGTACCGCCATAGGAAGCTGCAGTACAGTACGACATTCTGATGCAGCCGCCACCAATGATAGGAATTACGACGATATGGACCACGACTATGATGAGTGAGTGGTGAGTTAGACTTTTTTGTTATTTTTGTGGACTTTTGGATTGTGTTGAACATATTATGACCTCCAGATTATATATATGTGTGAATTGATGAATGATGAATGTTAATATTGTTGGATGTGAATCGATGAATGTAAATATGAATATTGTTGGATATTGTTGGATGTGAATCGATTAATGTGAACGTGAATCTTGTTGGATGTGAATCGATTAATGTGAACGTGAATCTTGTTGGATGTGAATCGATGAATGTGAATGTAAATATTATTGAATGTGAATCAATGATTATGAACGTGAATATTGTTGGATGTGAATCGATAAATATGAATATTGTTGAATATATTATAAATATTGGTAGCAATAGGTATACATTCCTAATTGGGGGGCTAAAAAAGGAATTTTTTTTGGATTATATACATTGGCGACGGGAAGAACCGTCACCAGTGAACATTAGCGACGGTGAATACGCGTCGTCTCGCCAATTCAATTTGGTTGTACTATGCGCTCGTCGTATTCCGCCGCTAATGTCATATTGCCGACGGTACTGGAACCGTTCCAAATATCATGGCGACGGAACTGAAAACCATCGCACATGAACAATTGACGATTGACCGTACCCTCTCGTCGCCAATGTAAACTTTGGCCGACGGAAGTAGTCCCGTCGCCAATGTTCATTGGCGACGGGAATGATCTCGTCGTCAATGAACATTGGCGACGGCTGTATTCCCGTCGCCAATGTTCATTGGCGTCGGGCGTAGTCCGTCACCAATGTTTTCGTCACCAATACATATCTGTCGGCAATGAACATTAGCGATGGATGACCCCATCACCAAGGTTCATTAGCGATAGAATTATTAGCGAAGGATTGTTCCCTGTCGCGAAAGTGTATTGGTAACGGATTTTACTGCATTGACGATGAATTTTCCCATTGTCAATGCTCTATTTTCTACTAGTGAGATAATTCACGATGACGGGATTCCGAAGAAACTTGGTTTCTCTCCCTGTATTGGTGCTAACAAATTGACGATGTAGCCTACTCTAGAACCTGTCGGGCCTTCTCCTTATATTAGAATCCGTCAGGCCTTCTCCTTCTATAGGAGTGTCCCCTAGTCATCCGACGGCTGTGAAGAAACCTTGGCTAATAGGAAACCGAATAGAAATACAATTCTAATGTGAGTCCACTTCATGACAAACCAACACCTATCAACTCTTGGCTATGAGAACTCCAGCAAGGTTCTAATTAGAATCCAATCCAATTAGATCAAAAGACCTTGTTCCACTAGGATTAAGACTTAACTAAGATGTGTACACCAACTTAAATACTAATGACTAACACTAAAGTCATGGTTGAAGATTCCGAAACCGAATTACTGCGGTATTTGAGTCAAACCATAATAAATTTCTACCTTGACTCAAATACGTAGAAAATTCTTCACTCCAAAATAAGCTAACTTACTCCACATTCTCCAATAGCCTAACAGATCATTAAGTGCGGCGCATATCGATCAAGTTCGAGCCCAGCTTGAACTTGCCAACTAAAAGAGGCCTCCTCACAATCGACTAAATTGTCCGCATAATGATCATAACTCTTAGCGAAGTCATTACCTGAAGTAGCTCCTGAATAGCTGAAGGGCACAAAATTGTCAACCAACAATGTATAAGCTATCGTATTTTCATATCTTGGCGGTGGTCGAATATCTCATCTAAACCGATCTCTAGCAATAGTATATTCTTACTCTTCTTGTAGCTACTGAGGTGCTTTATCTACTTGAACATGATCTGGTCATTGAACGTCCCGTATTTTATCTCGCCTGAAGAGCTGAATCACGAATTTCTAACTCCACCTTATGTCTTGTAGTGCACACCTTATCATCAACTGACACCGATGACTGTTTCTGGTGAAACATAATAGACTCATCAAAAGTAGCATCATGACTGATAATAATCTTAGGAGAGTTCAGATCATGACACAATAATCTAAAATCCTTAACACCTGATACATAACCTATGAATATGCACTTCTTTGCTCACGGTTCAAATATCCCTTGACTAACATATGCAAATGCAGGGAAACCAAGTATTCTAATATTAGAATAATCTGCAAGCTTATCGGACCAAACCTCCTGTAGAGTTTTTACAACTAATAGCAGTAGATGACGATTGATTCACTAAGAAACAAGCCGTATTCACCGCTTTTGCACAATATTCCTTGCTAAACCTGCATTGAATATCATACAATAAGCTTTCTCCAATAGGGTTCTGTTCATACGTTCTATAGCTCCATTCTGTTGTGGTGTGTGAGGAGTTGTGCGATGTCAAACAATTCCATCCTTCTTGTAAAACTCATTAAATTCTCATCAACAAAACTCAAGGCCATTATCAATTCTAAGCCTCTTAATCAGCCTCCCAGTCTGCTTCTCAATCAAAGTTTTTTACTGCTTAAAAGTCACAAATACCTCATATTTATGTCTCAAAAAGTAGACTCAAACCTTTCATAAGTAGTCATCAATGAAGATCAATAAATATCTCCAACTATCATCCTTCAAGGTAACTTGGGAAGGTTTCAAAGATCTGAATGGATTTAATCCAAGGTACCTTTAGTTTGATGCGCTGCCATACTAAAGCTGACTTTTTTCTGCTTCTCGATGATGCAATGTTTGTAAAATCCCAAATTTCCTGTACTCTGTCCACATAAAGACCTTTCTTACTCAACTCGGCCAATCTGTGCTCACTCATATGATCAAGTCTCATATGCTATAATCTGGTAGTATCAACTCCTGGTATCGATGATGCAACTGTAGACGAACCGGTAACAGTAGCACCCTACAAAATATAAAAGCTGTTGGTCTTCTTTCCTTGTATAACTACAAAAGAGCCGTTTGTAACCCTAAGAACTCCACCTTTACCTGAATAATTACACCCAAGTCTATCAAGAGTGTCCAAAGAGATGAGATTCTTCCTTAAACCTGAAACATGCCTAATATTAGTCAAAGTCCTGGTGGCTCTATTAATCCAAATTGTGCCTTTCCCAACAGTGTTGCTTGAGGCGTTGTTCCCCAAAAGAACAACTCCGCCATCAATAGCTTCATAAATGGTGAACCAGTTCCGATTAGGACACTTATGATAGGAACAACCGGAATCCAAATCTAATCATCCATGCTCCTATTTATATCATCTATTGCCAACAAAATCATATCTTCAGCAATATCAACTTCGGCAGAGTCCTTTAATTTTTCTTCATACTCTTCTTGTTTATTTTTATTCTTTAATTTGTAACAATCGGTCTTAATGTGCCATTTCTTCTTGCAATATCTGTAGGTTAGATTCCTATGCTTTGACTTATAGCTATTACCTCCAAAGCCCCTCTCTTCTGATCTACTTTGAACAAACAAATCATCAGCTTTATCGCTACTTTCGTTATCTACTTTATCACCACTTTTGCTTAGGGTAAACTCTTTGTCGATCTTCTCCTTATTCAATAAGTTCTCTTTGACATCCTTCATGCCAATAGAATCTCAACCGTAAATCATAGTATCCTTGAAATGCTTATAGGAAGGCGGCAAAGAACACAATAACAATAGCACTTGATATTCATCATCGATCTTAGCATCAATCTTACTCAAATCTGTAATCATAGAATTAAATTCATCAATATGAGATTTAATGTGTGTTCCTTCTGACATTCGAAGTGTGTACAAACACTGCTTTAAGAGGAGGCAATTAGTGAGCGACTTTATCAGAAAAAAATCTTCCAACTTAGACCACAAATCAGCAGTTGTCTCCATCGTGAAAACTTCTTACAAAATTTTATTTGTCAAACATAACTAGATCGTTGTGAGTGCTCTATCATCCAACTCGTTCTAATGTTCCTACATCATAGTAACTGGTTTGTTCGACTTCCCAAACAAAGCCTTCTTCAATCCGTGTTATGTCAACACTTTGATAATCCTAACTCGCCAAAGGCTCGATATCTCACTTCATAGTGGTTATTGTCATCTTCTCATCTGATCGATAGCTGAAGGCTCTGATACTAATTTGCTATGATAATTTCCTAGGTTAAACTAATATCAATCACACGAAAGCACAAAAATATCAAGAGCACACAAACAAAATGAATATACATAGTTTGGCTTGTAGCCTACGTCCAAGGGTGAAGGAAGAGAAGAACTTTACTAAATTGTGAGGAATACAAAGTGGAATCTCTCAATCACTCAATCCCAAATAACACCCCAAGATTCTCGTCCAATCTTTGTAAATAAAAGGAACAAAAGTAGAGATAATTCACGAAGATGGGATTCTGAAGAAACTTTGTTTCTCTCTTTGTATTGGTTCTAAAAAGTTGATGATGTAGCTTATCCTAGAACTTATCAGGCCTCCTTTTATAGGAGCATCACCGATGTAAAACCCTGTAATTTTAAATATATTATGATATATAATAATAAATAAGTTATATCATGATAAATATTATTTATTAATGGTTGAGTATGCTAGGAATCGATTTGAGATCGATTCAGTGTATTTATGTGAATAAACGAGTGTATATATATGTGAATAAACGAGTGTAAACGTGCACAGTTGTAGTTGGCTGGAAACGGCGTCTGGGAGGTCGACCAATGCTATGGCATTAGTCAATCGATAACCATTGGCCGGTCGACTGATGCCATAGCATCGGTTGACCGTCGAGCTTCCAGAGCTCTTGTAGGTTTTGAGTCGGGTCGGTTTTGTTTCGCTTCAGGCCCAGTGTAGGAAGGTTTGACCAAGCGGGAGTTTGATGTGACCCTAACTATAGGAAGGTTTGATCACTCGATATGGAAGTAGACCTCTCATTCATGAAAGGAATCGAGAGGGGACTTTGGTCGTGGTCCTTACTATAGGAAGGTTTGACCGAATGGATAGTGAGAGTGGGAGTACAAATTACAGCGGGAGTGTTGATTCGTACAAATCACCCAAAGGGGGTTCCTGGTGTTAAGTGACAAATTCTTAACACGGATGGGTTTGAAAATCGTCAACGATCAGAATATTAAAATTCCAAGTATTATGTCTGGACTCTAACAATGGGAATGTTGAGTGCACAGACACATCGGAATTTTGAGTGGATTAGACCAGAAAGAATTTTAGTGGTCCCACTGTCAATTGATTTGATCAGTGAGAGATTTTGTAGTAGAGAACTAAGAATCATCAAGCACTCCACAATTACACCGTGGGAGTTTCGTGAGGGAAGATTGATCCAACTAAGTGATCAAATCTCATCTCAGCAAAAGAGTGCTTGGAAGTTGGTGGAATTGATCCCGACAATGAGATGTGTTTCACCCTTGAACATTCAAAGTCCAAGTGGGAGTTTCTCATTTATCACTTCTTTGTAGTGATCAGGTTATCCCTAAGAATACACCGTATAGCATTCTTCCAGGAACTTTCCATTACATGAATCATCCACCCCTAGCTTCCTTTGTAAAATCGGGTCTAATATTGTACTTAGTTGGATGATCGTGTTATCCTTAAGAATACCAGGCATGACACTCTCCAGGAACTTTCCGTAAAAGAAAGGAAATAGTTTAGACTCATATACATGTTGGAGTATTGAGAAGCAGTTTATACTCGTATACTCTTCAGAGTATTGCCGTTCTCATTCGGCTTATCCCAGCGTTATGACGCCAGCTTATCCCAGCGTTATGACGCCGGCTTCAACCAAGGTTTGGATGCTATTCTTGAGAGCGAAGCAAGCCTTAGTAGGATGAAGGATCCTTCTGTGGTAAGCATAATACATTGGATCCGTAGTATTGTCAGTTTCCTCTTGATTTGTGATAGGTGGTAACATGATCTGGTTATTCTCAAGGAGGGATTCGAAGATGGCTGGAATGTCTTCGTCCTTGAAGGAGTACTCTTTTTGGATTTTTGGACCCAAAGTCTTTTCCTGTCTCCGAGATTGTTGTTGTGATGTCTGATTAGCATCAATAGAAGGTGTAGGGGCCTTTCCTTTACCACGGGAGACGAAGCTTGAATTTGGAGGGTTAGCCGTCGGTTAGCTTCTCTCGGCTTTTTTCCTTCTGAGAAAGTGCTCGGGCTGCTCTCTGCGCAATTTCAACTCTTTCTAGGTGTTGGATGGTGCTACTCCCATAACTTCTAACACGTCCAAAGAGAGGTTGTTATGGCATGTTTGGAGGATGAAGTTTTCTGTGATCGGATCTCGGCAGTTCATCGCCTTATTCTGGAAGCACTTGACGAAGTCATCGACCGTCTCGTCGTCTTCCTATTTCTTATCAAAGAGTGTCCTGATTGACACCTCAGCATCATCATCAAAGAAGTGAGCAAGGAACATGTTCTCTAAGTCGTCCTAACTGTTGATGCTTCCAGGCTTGAAACACGATACTAATCAAAGGCGGGCCCGCGAAGGGTGCCAACGAATGACTGAACCATTAAGGCTTCATTGTCGGAGATCATGCCCAAGTGGGACTTGAAGTAGATCAGATGTTGAGTGGGCGAGCCCTTCCCGTTGAACGACATGAAATTAATCAGGTTAAACTTTACCAGGTACGGAATCGACTCCCACTATCTCGGGTAGGGACACGGAATGCCGGTCTTCTTCACCTCTCGAGCAGACATCAGAGCATTGATTTTGCCCTCGAGGTCTTTCAACTTTTCATACTCACTCGTATCCTTCTTTGGTCGATTTTGAGGAGGAACAATGGGGCCACCCCCCAGTGTTGTCATTATTGGTAGGACCATCCCCGGCGTTGTTATTCTCAGTGGGGCTACCCCCAGCGTTTTGGTCAATGGGAGGGTCATCAGCATTGAGATGTTCATCCATATCTAAATCGCTACCTGCTTGGTCATCAATGTTGCGACGGCTGGATTCACCAAGTTGATTAGACAGAGCCCGAATCTGTTGGTCATGCTCTTCCCTCATCTGCTGCATAGTCATTTTCATTTCAATTTTGAATGCTTCTTTCTGCTTGGCTAGAGCATCCTCAACCATTTTGGCTACTTTTTTAGTGTTAATCATAAACACCTCACGAAATTATCCTGGACTGGATACCGTTTTGTCAGACGCGACTGCAGAGTTGGCATCTGACGCTTCATCATCCGAGGATAATCCCCTCTGCGTTCTCTGATAATCCCTAAGTCTAGTAGTCCCTGCGCATAGCCGAGTTAGACGATGCGATACGAGCAGGTCAGAACTAGAAGGTCGACACGACTTTCCCTTGTCAGTCATGTTAATTATGACTTCTGGAAGTTTGTCATCTTGAATAGCTGATCGTTTCTTACGGAGATGCTTTGGTTTGGACTTAGCCTTTCCGTTAGATATTTTCTCGAATACCGAGACCCTCTGTGGAGTGGTCTTAGGACAACTACACACTGATAATACTACCCGGATAAGTTTGATACACAGACAATGAAAGTCCATCTCCCAAGCATCTCTCTTTCGAGATCTGTTTGTACCCCTAGCCTGATAGTACAACTCATCGACATGATGACCGGAGCAATCTATCATGTGTTGGCACGACTTCTCAAATATAACATCGTCGTCTAACGAACACATTTCCTTCTAAGGATTCGTCGCTCTTGGACTTTGACACGCAGTTCGAGGTGGTCAGTTATAGGAGTTTTCTCTTTACGAGAAGGCTCAGACTTGTTGCAAGGGCGAGTACGACCCCAAGCTCGATGAGTTGCTCGAGGTTCATTCACCATGCCCAAGCGTTCTTTGACCAGAAATCTGTCTCGATCTTCATGTAGAGGACCCATGCGATCCTTCAACGGAATTCTGGATTTGGAGAGATCCACGCTATCGTAGGGCTTTACCGGAGGTGCGGGAACAATAGGAGCGTGATCTAAAGTTGACAAAGGCTGGAGAGCAGCCTCGGATATAGAATCAAGCGAGAGACACGACTGGTGTCTCTTGTCGGATAGAGGTGCTGTTTTGGCCTTCGACACCCAAACCTGCTTAGATCTTGGTGGTTTCTTGACCACCTCTTCCTTCTGCTTCTTGTGCGAGAATAGGTACGCAAGTAGTGCACAGTGTATCTGGATATGCTCCTCGAGGGTAGAACTAGTTCGTTTGATACGAACCCATTTGTAAGTTGACGGTTGGGAAGAGGGCCCTGATGCTTATTGTGACGACGGCTTAGCCACTTGGCGCTTTCTGAACTCTAGATCCGCTTGGTAACGGAGTCCGTCCACTTACTTTAAAGCCTTAGCCAATTGGTGGGCGAGACGTTGGCGACGCCTTTAATGAGCCCTCCTCGACAAATTTGGCATGCCTTCAACCAAGGTTTTAAATATCGGATGTCGGGTTCATGTCGGACGGCTGAAATCCATATCGGATAGCGGAAATCGGGGATATATCGGGGGATATGAACTAAATATCGGTTTACCATATCGGGTGATCCGCATATGTATAATATCATGTCCTAAATGTAATCTAAGCATTTATAAATTCAATATAAGCATACTTTATAAATTTTATAGACTTAACATATAAAAATATAAATAATATATGATGTTTAGGATCACTAACCGATTGTAGAAGTTTGATTCTCGATTGCATCCTGAAACAATTTGGGTGCTTGACCTACAAAATAAGAGAACATTGTTAGTAAACATAGAATAACATTTAAAGAATAAAGCAAGTAACATATAAGATATAACATATAGAATGAAGATCATAACTCACAAGATTCATATCAAACATAAGCAAATCAAAACAAACAAACAAGTTTTTAAAGCTACAAATAGTTTATAATTGTTTAACATTCAAGAGCAAATCCATAATAACATAAAAATTAAGATAACTAGAAAGTCTAGAATCAATCTTCATCGTGATCAAAATCAAAAGTAGTATTATCATCCTCATCTGACTCCGTGAATAACGCATCCATCTCTTCTTCCTCGTCATCTTCCATCGGCTCTTTTCCTTTCGATGAAGATGATCCCGATTTCTTCTTTCTTCTATACGTTTGCAACCTTCCACTCTTTCTCTTCCTTGGATTAGCTCCCGAAATATCTCCAACTTGCCTAAAAGTTAAACACTCTCCTGGAAATACTTCATCATCACTATTCTCCTCCTCCTCACCCAACAACCATTCGGTGACTCTTTCCTCATCATCGTAGGCGGTTAAAGGATCTCTATTTGGGACGGCATGCTTGTTCTTCAACTTTGCATTGAACTTGACAAAGACTAAGTCATGAAGTTTTTTATGAGTTAGTCTATTCCTCTTCTTCGTATGAATCTATAAAAGAAAATCATGAATTAGCATAAAAAACTAATCATCAAATACTACAATACAAGCCTAGAAGATGATTAAAATTTAAGAAATAATATTACCATCTCAAATGTACTCCAATTTCTTTCACAAGCCGAAGAGCTAGTTGTCAAGCCCAAAATCTTCATTGCCATCTTCCTTAACTCGGGAGTATCGTTTCCATAAAGCCTCCACCAAGTAACTAGTCAATTCATAATTGGAAAATGTTAGTAACTTATAAATTCAAAAAAGAGGTCAATGAATTAATTTGAATGAAAATATAAATTTACCCGGACAATCACCCTTAGTAGCACTTCGCCTCGCAAATTGATCCCCAAATGATCCTAGGCGTTCTTGATAATTAGGTATTTGATCTCCAATCTTTGTGAAAGTCACATGGTCATCGGGAAAGAGTCTATGCATACACTTGACTATGGCATTCATGAAGCTTCCGTCACCTTCAATGTCTGTGTAAGCTGGGTAATAGTAAAAAGGATTCAAAAAGTAACCCGCTTTATGTAATGTTCCACAAAGATTCTTCTTAAATCTCGACTCAATCATGGACAAAATGGGATTATACTTCTTGTCATCATTCCTAAGGGCCACTTTCAACTCCTCCATAGCCACCAACATGTCCCCATATATAAATCCCATCGAACCGATTTTATCACCATCCGCTCTTCGAAGAACATTCACGAGAGGAGTGAATACTTTGAGAGCAAAGTCTATATTATCCCAAAACTTGTTGCTAGCAATTATCTCCGCAACCTACAAACATAGAAATAAATCCAATCAATGAAATATAAATGATCAAATGAATAAAATAAATGCAATTAAAAATTTTAATTTAAAATATACCTTTTTACCCACTGATGTTCTTGAAAGGCTACAATCTGTCCATTGGTCAGAGATAAACATTTGCCTCATCTCTTTCTTATGATCTCTTAATGACTGTAGAGAAAGGAACGCTGTAGCAAACCTTGTAACTCCCGGTCTCACAAGATCACCCTTAGTAAACTCTCTAAATAATTGAAGAGGCTTGGTGTGATTATATATGAACACTGATACACTCCTCCCCATTAAAATGGCATTACGAATGAGTTTTATCTTAGCTATATCGCACAACATCAAGTTCACCGTGTGTGTAGCACAAGTCGTCCAAAATATATTTGGCCTCTTCTCAATCAATAACTTAGAAGCCGCCATATTGTTTGAAGCTCCATCAGTGACTATCTGTATCACATTTGCCTCCCCTATCTGATCAATAGCCTTGTCTACAAAATCAAAGATATACTTAGCATCGTGCTTATCGGCCGATGCATCATGTGAAGATAAAAAACAAGCTCTCCCAGCAGAATGTACAACTATGTTCATGATGCTTCTAGACTTTCAATCACTCCATGCATCGGTCATTATCGAGCAACCATTGACAACACAAGTCCGTTTAAAGTTTTCAACAATTTCTTTTGTCTCTTCAACTTCCTTTTGCAAACATGTCTCACTCAGTTCATACATGGATGGAGCTTGCAAATGACTTCCAAACAAGCCAATAGCTTGTAACATTTGATGGAAAGAGGGAAGCGTGGCGGTATGAAATGAAATGTCGGCTTCATAGAACCATTTGGAGACGTATCGCAATACATCCTCCCTTTTCTTCTTCTTAAGTTTGGAGTCCATCTTTGGTTGTTTCCCCTTTGCTACTAGTTGGGCAATCTCCTCGGGAGAACGAGCGGCGAAGGAGTCCATTGGTCCAATTACCTTGTGGGAGGATGACGAGCTTCTTTGAATACTCAATGAGATGGAGTTATCCTCCTCCTCATCCTCCCCAATATGCACCTCACTCAACAAGTTATGCATCTTCATCTCCTTCTCATCCCTACTCTTCTTTGCATTATCTAAAATTTTAGAAACTTTTGCCTTAACATCATCGGGTACTTTCACACACGGCACACAATTTCCCCTCTTTCCTGCTAGGTGTTGTTTGAATCGGCTATTCCCGCCATTGAGAATTTGAGTGCAATATTTGCATTTAACTTTACTTGTATCAGAACCAACTCTCTCCCCATATAGCCAACATGGATCTTTACCGCCCGGTTTTGATGTTGTTGGCGGTCTAGTAGATCCTTGTCCTTCAGACGACATGATTCTATAAAATAAGACAAATATAGATTTAGACAACATATTTATAATTCAATTACTAACTATTAATTAATTTTATTTGACAAGGGAAAAATTCAAGGAGGGTTACCTGATTTTGAGAAACAAGCCGTCTTACTCAGCAGTCACCACTCGACAGTCACACAAACTGAATCTGCAAAGTGTAAAGTGCAAACTAAATCTGCAAACTGTAAACAGAAAAAAAAATTATTCACAGAGTTGTTGCTACCAGACTGTCACATGAAGAAGAAAAAATAAGAAAAGCAGAAACTCTGTAAAGTTTAAACATGTAATATTCATATCATAAGATGATAAACAGTGATTATTATGAGAAATCAGGGATTATTAAATGATAAACAAGGTTACAACAAGTTCTCCATCAATCTTTCATATTAATTAATTCAAAATATCCTAACAAAATTAATTCTCGGTTATACAAGAAAATCATTCATGTTTACATATTCTCGGTCTTAAACCCAACCCCTTTTAAACCCCTTTTAATTTACATAAATAAAAAAACGCACAAAAAAAGGAGCCGAAAGTCAGAAGCATTCCTGTTTACATATTCTCAGTCTTAAACCCAACCCCTTTTAAACCCCTTTTAATTTACATAAAAAAAACGCAAAAAAACGAAGACGAAGGCAGTAAGAGAGGCGCTCAGAGAGAGAGAGAGAGAGAGAGAGAGAGAGAGAGAGAGAGAGAGAAGGGGGGAGGGGGGAGAGAGAGACATACCTCATGATTTGGTGCACTCGAAGATGCGGTCGAAGATGCGGTCGAAGGTGGTCGTCGAACTGTCGAAGAGGCGCTGAAGATGAGGTCGAAGACTGCTGAAGATGCAGTCGAAGGTGGTCGAAGGCGGTCGAAGAGCTTTGAAGGCGGTCGAGGCGGTCGAAGGCGGCTGAAGATGCCTCAAGAGAGAGCTGAAGATGCGGTCCTGTAGCCCTAGTTTTCTCTCTCGATTTCTTTCTCGTTTTCTTTGATCGGCTTCGTTTAAGTCACTGAAGAGTTAGCAGCGGTCAAATGGGTTTGGGTTTTGTAAAAACCCAAACCCAATAAACCAACAAAAGCTGAAACCGAAATCACAGAATGTCGGTCGATTTTTCAGAGGTGAAAAATCGGTCGACATGCCCGACTTTTACCCGATATATCCGATATGCTCTAGAAAACCGATATACGACTCAAATAAGCCCGACTCATATCACTAGACTCCTCGATCCGACATATCGGCCAACATGTCCGATATGTCGGCCGCTATTTAAAATAGTGCCTTCAACAGTCAACTCCTTAATAGAGGCGGTGTCCGGATGTATGGCTTTGGCTTCATCGAACCTCGTCGGGTTATCGTGAGGTGCAACTGTAGCAGCGGTGGCGGAGAGATCGTCTTCTTGGGTCTTCAAATCTGAAGACCAACGGATTTTCCTGGAGGAGGAGGCCTTCCTACGCTTGCGAGGAGAGGCGGATATGGAGGAGGAGGAGGAGATGTACTTCTCAAACTTCTGTTGGTCGAATTCGTATTCGACCTCTTCGTTCACCGGGATCTTGATCGTTGGTTGCGTTACGACAGCCTTGGCTGCAAGGCTGTTGGCTCCCACTATGGTTGCCAGCTTGTTTTGAGGGAAAATCAATTTCTTCATTAATGAGTTCATTACAAATTTAAACGTTACAATAAAAAAAAGATAGTCTTTTTATAAGACTTTCAACAAAGATTACAACTTTCCTTTTAAACAAACGCAACAGACGTTTATCCTTCACTGCTTGTGTGAGATCTTAGCCTGTGATGGGGATATTGATATCCGTGGACTACCAAATGATCAGATCAGGTCCAGAGCTTCGTTGATTCGCGAAGGAATCAATAAACCGAAGTAATTATCTCGGCAACAGCGAGACAATCATTCTTCTCGAGGTCACCGCAACGGGGCAATCTCAAGGCAAAGAACTGGGAAGTGTAGATCTGACGAGCTCCTCTTCTTTATGCTGACGAACTCGATCCGATCTCCTCCTCTCTTTTGAAATTCATGCTCCTTCAGTCTTCAATTCAACAGGGCTTCGTCAACGCTCGAGAATTCCCGATCTTTTAAATTGCTCCTTCTTCATGTCGGGATTCGCCAAAGTCTGCTAGCCTCTCTCAAATTCATCAGAACCTTATCCTAGCTCCTCTAAAATTCATGGCTCCCTTCAGATCTCTTTTTATGAGGGTGCTAGGGGTGTATTTATAGGCTTTAAATGTCATGTTTATGGATAGGAATGTCGTGTTTGTGGATATGATCGAAGAACAACCGTTATTATTTGTTTAGGTGGGTTTTCGATTATGTAACAACTTTCATACATTTAAGAATAAACTTACATGTTTATAGATGATCCCAAGGAGTTCTAAAAGCTAATCTTATCAGAAAACACGTCGGGAGCTGACTTGGGCGCGAGTCACTTTGACTGTCTCGCACATGTCCGAGACAACTTGGACTATCTCGGGTATTTTAGTCTTAACTCTCTCTTCTGACCTCAGAATGAGATGATTCAAGATGTGTTAGAAAGATGACGAAGAGATCTACAACTTTTATTTTTTGAGATTTTTATATTCCAATCGAATCATGACCAAAATCTCCATTCTTCTCTAAGATGCCAACATTGTCTCGGAATTCTGAGGTAGTTTGTACTATCTTTGGTATTTTGGCTTTATCTCTCTCATATGATCTCGGAATGAGTTGATCTAAGATGCGTTAGAAATATAACAAGGAGCTCTACAATTTCATATTTTAAGATTCTTCATATTCAAAGCGAGATAGTCTCTACTAAGGCCGAGACACTTGGAGTGTCTCCGCTAAGGCCCGAGGCATTGTTTCGTAAGTTCCGTCCGTTTTCGTCGTATCTTCGTCGTCCGAACTCAGAATTGCACAATTTAAAGTACAAAAGAAAGCCAATGAGAATATCTACAAGCTCTCATGGTTGAATCATATGTAGAGTAGATGGGACACGAGGGGTGTTTCGTCTTTCGTAAGTGAAGCGTAGCTCCTGATCAGTTATTCTGCAGTTCCGTTGCTTCACACGGTTCGTCGATTTACTTCCTACGTTTATCGATATCAATTAAGATTCTATCACTCGGATAGCGACGTTCATCATCTTCTCTCTGTCTTAAGCCGTGTGTGAGAATTAGTGGGCAATTTTTAACGCCTACATGGTCGCCAAAGGATTCCACCAACAATCTGTTGTGGACTACGAGGAGACTTTTAGTTTGGTCGTCAAGTCCACGACGATTCACACTATATATCATTGCCTTGAGTGTATCTAATGGATGGTCTATTAGCCAGCTAGATGTTCACAATGCCTTTCTCTATGGCAAAATCATAGAGACCGTCTATATGTTTTAGCCACCTGGTTTCGTCAATTTGTCGCTTCTGAGTCATGTCTGCCTTCTTATTAGTCTCTATACGACCTCAAATAGGCCCCCATTAGCTTGGTTTCATTGGCTTTTTCTAGCACTAGTTAATAATGGATTTACGGGGGGTTCAAAACTGACTCTTTTCTCTTTTTCTACTCGAATGGCAAGACTTAGTTATTTGTTTTTGTCTATGTAGATGATATTATCATGACAGGTAATGATTTGGTGTTTATATCTCGCCTCATCACTTTGTTGTTGACCGATTTCTCCATTAAGGATTTGGGTCCTCCACATCACTTCCTCGGCATTAAGGTGGTCCCTCAGCCCTCGGGTCTCTTCTCTCTCAGTGGACATATATTTCTAAGCTTCTTCAAGAAGCGCGCCTCTCCGATGCCAAACCAGAAACAACTCCACTCTCTACATCCATAGTTTTCACCAAACTCTCTGGTACTCTATTCCTCGACCCGACCAAGTACCATCAAATTGTAGGAGCCCTTCATTATATCACTCAGACTCAACCAAATTTGTCCTTTGTGGTCAACAAGGTTTGTTAGTTTGTGCATTAGCCAACAGAGGACCACTGGGTGGCGGTCAAACGTATCCTTCGTTACTTGAAAGGGACAATCGTTCATGGCCTATCATTTTAACGTGGACCCACTGATCATCTCCAAGCCTTTTGTGATTCTAATTGGGCTAGATGTCCTAATGATCGCAAGTCAACAGGGGGTTTTGTGATGTTTCTTGGTACGAACCTTGTCTCGTGGATGTCCCGCAAGCAGCGCACCGTTTCCTGTTCATCTATTGAGTCCGAGTACAAGGATCTTGCCGACACGTCGACCTA